CCCCAGTAGGGGGCGTGCAGGAGGCAGCCGATCAATGCCTCTCATCATTGATGTTTCTCTCTCTCTCCCCCTCTCCCTTCCTCTCTGAAATCAATAAAGAGATATTAAAAAACAAAAAGGAAGCAGCTGATCTGTAGCAACAAGGAAAGACGGCCAGGGTGACTGAGGGTCAGGATCGGGTGCGGGGCAGAGCACGGGGTGGGGGGGGGTTCACACTAGTGAATCGTTCAGAGCGATGGGACGCCCATGGGGCGGGAGGTCGCAGAGCACACAAGCTGGGCCGCTCGGTCCGCGCCCGCCCAGCAGGGCAAATCCCAAACCTTTCCGTGACCGTGTCCCAACTTGTAAATCGGTGGAGATCGTGGGACCTACCTCTGGGAGCTGTTGGGAGTTTTCATTAGTTGCTACACGGGAAGCCCTTCAAAGGCGCCGGCACCGAGCAGGCCCCGGCGTCAGCAAGTGTTATTACATCCTCGAGGCCGGGGGCAGCGAGGACACTCGGCGTTGCCACTGAATCTCATGCCCTTGGAATCCGGTGCCCTGACCACGTGTACCTGTCCAGATACCTTTTTGGTTTTTTTGTTAATCTTTACCTGAGGATATTTTTTCCATTTATTTTTAGAGAGAGTGACGGGGTGGGAGAGGGAAAGAGAGAAAAATATTGATGTGAGAGAGACACATCGGCCAGCTGCGTCCTGCACGCACCCCAGTGGGGGGCTGGGGATCGGACCTGCAACCCAGGTACGTGCCCTTGACTGGGACGCAAACCCACGACCCTTCTGTCTGTGGCATATGCTCCACCCACGGAGCAACAATGGCTAAGGCACAAAAATACTTTTAATAACAATGCAGTTACTTGGAAAAATGCTTATGATAGGAAGCTAAAAACAACAACAACAGGACATAAAATTGTACATAAATACTTGAAGGAAATTTTTTTAAAATGCCTACGAAGGAGTATAGGAAATAAACCAACATGCCCACAGTGGTTAGTGTTCAGAGTGGTGGAATTACAACTTTTCCCCATTTTCCAAATATTTTATAGGCATTTTATACAGAGATTGTGCATTTAAGTAACACGAAGGGCTTCCTGTGTGCCTGGCACTGTGCTAAACATGTTCATTCTTTTTTTTTTTTAAAGATTTTTAAAATTGATTTTTAGAGGGAAAGGAAGGGAGGGGGAGAGAAACGCTCCTGTGAGAGGGAAACACTGATCACCTGCCTCCTGCACGCCCCCTACCGGGGATCAAGCCTGCAGCCCGGGCATGTGCCCTGACCGGGAACTGAACCAGCAACCTCCCGGTGCAGGGGTGATGCCCAACCAACTGAGCCACACCAGCCAGGGCAGACACTTTCGTTCTTGCTCTCGCTGTTATTGTCATAATTAGCTTGTTATTAATATTAATAACAGAAAAAGAGCAAAGGGGAGGCCAGACATTGTAAACATGGTCATCTGGGGGGATTCACCAGGAAGCTGCAACTTCACACTCTCCTGGGAACCACGGGTCCATTCTCTGCAGATCACTGGGGGAAGGGATCGAACAAAGGGGGAGATGGGCGCATGCACAGTGAGGTCAATGTGACGCAGGGAAGGTGCTTGCCTGTCAGGCTAACCTGGGGGAAAGATAACTGGCTGGGGGGCTGAGAAATCTTAAAGGGTCCATTGGTTAAGCAAGCTCCTGGTTACAGTCCCAAGGCCAAGGGTTCCCTCTCTCTCATCTGCTCCTGCCCTTGTGCTCCTGTTTCTTGCTGGCTCGGTGGCCCACACTCACCATGGGCTTGCCCATATGTGGCCTTTAGCCGCCGCAGGGCCCGTGGCCGAGCAGGTCCCACACGCGATGGACCCAGCAGGGGACACAAGCTAGGCTAGTGAGATGCTGGGCTGGACCGTGCTTTAATATGGGGCGGAGACTCTGGGCAGGGACCTGAATTCTTGCCCCGCTGAAGACAAGGTTGGACTTTTTCCACAGAGGGTCGGAGGGAAGGACGACCTTGGA